ACCCCAGGCCACTTGATGCAGTTTCATCACCACGCGAAATCTTCTTTTTTGTTTTAATCCGGTTGGGAACTGCGCGGCATCAGTATTCGAACCACGGACCTTTTGCATGCAAGGCTGAGGTTCTAACAACTACGCCATCGCCGCATTCCCATCATCATATTTACTTTCATAATGAGTGCAGCCCTGAGCTCTTTCTGGTACAAAGATCAGATTTCTTTTTTTTCCCTGGTAAAGATTGCACCCCAAACTTTGTGAGGGGTGCAGTCATCATCATCATCATCAGCCTGACTACGGCCACTGCATAACAAAGGCCTCTGCCATTTTTCGCCTGACGACTCGGACCTGTGCTTGCTGCTGCTGCTTTATACCCGCAAACATCCTAATCTCATCTGCTCACCTAACTTTCTGTCTTTCCTTCACCCGCTTGCCTTCTCTGAAAATTCAGTCAGTTACCCTTGATGACCATCGCTTATCCTGCCGACGCCCTACTTGCCCGACCTGTGTCCATTTCTTCTTGATTTCAACTATGATATTCTTAACCCTCCCACATGGGTTCTATATCACGCACAGTAAAATCGTTTGCACCTTTTAGGGCATGAGTGTCTTGCGGATTAGTCTCATTTGTTAGCAGGACGTGGTGCTATGCCTGTGCGGTGCTGGGTTAGCGCGGTGATGCCAGTAATGCCACCTGGTGGGAGAGAGATTAGGCAGGCACATAAGGAACAGCTGCAGATCTCTGTGGATTTGGCAGTATGCATGCTCTTGGTAGGGTCCTTGGGTAGGATTTTGCGGGTTGGGCCGTTCGGCCCTTGCCGGTCAGTCGGTGGATAGACGTTAACAAGGACTCATGCGCACATGGTGTATGTTATGTTTTCTGTGTGTAGTAGTGGCGTTATGTAAGCGTTCTACTTGTCACATATTCGATTCAGCTGGCCAGCTTGTCAGTATGAAGTTAATAAATGTTCACGTTGGTTGCTGGACAATGTGAGTGTGTCTGTGTGTTTCGAGAGCAGCGCTCATCTCTAGACCCCACAACTTTCTGTGGCAATGCGGTGTTGTGGTGATCACAGTGAGTAATGAGGCCACATGTTGGTTCTGTGAGGTGGCAACTGCTCAAAACTACACACCCACAAGAGTGGAAGCTTGGGCTAGTTGGTGCGTAGTCATATTTGCAAGATGTTTCAGCGCGCAACCAAAGGAAAAAGGACAGGGTAGACAGAAAGAGCGCTGACTTCCAACTAACTTTATTTCACAGAGTGGCAAGAATATATACTGCTAAAAAGGATGATAAAGGAGCATGAAGGTAAAATGCAAGCCTAATCTACACATCAGTAACAAAACACGTGTGACGGGTCCTCTATTGCCTCAAAGCCCAGCCAGGTAATCACCTTCAGCCTGTGATAAAGCAATCGATGATGTGCTTACACATTTATCTCCTAGCAAGTGTATTTTTTCGGCTTCGATAATTTCTCGGGTAAGCTGGTTCCTGTGCCTTGCCAATATTGAGCACTGATCAAAGAGAGGGGTGCACCCACAATCTCGGCAATGAATGCCAAGATGCCCTTGTACCACATTGTGCACATTGTTTCGGTGTTCTCGGAGGTGTCCTGTGCGCGACAGAGCACGAGGCAGAATTTGCACGAGGTGCATTGACCCGTTTGCAAAGCCGTTTTTTCTGCCCCGGAAACATTGCAGAGGCTTTGCAAATGGGTCAATGCACCTCGTGCAAATTCTGCCTCGTGCTCTGTCGCGCTCAGGACACGCTACGTCCCATGCGCAGTAGGAGTCATATACTTGATTCCACTGACGTGTGGGTGCATTTATGTTGGGCAAACCGGCAGGTGCATAAATGACCGCCTCCAAGAACACCGAAACAATGTGCACAATGTGGTACAAGGGCATCTTGGCATTCATTGCCGAGATTGTGGGTCCACCCCTCTCTTTGATCAATGCTCAATATTGGCAAGGCATAGGGACCAGCTTACCTGAGAAATTATCGAAGCCAAAAAGTACACTTGCTAGGAGATAAATGTGTAAGCACATCATCGATTGCTTTATCACAGGCTGAACGTGATTACCTGGCTGGGCTTTGAGGCAACAGAGGAACCGTCACACGTGTTTTGTTACTGATGTGTAGATTAGGCTTGCATTTTACCTTCATGCTCCTTTATCATCCTTTTTAGCAGTATATATTCTTGCCACTCTGTGAAATAAAGTTAGTTGGAAGTCAGCGCTCTTTCTGTCTACCCTGTCCTTTTTCCTTTGTTCGCGTGCTGAAACATCTTGCAAATATGACTACACACCCACTGTAGTTTTGATAATGCAGAAATATAGATATACACTCAAGCCTAGGTACATCGAACTTAGATGTAACGAACTTTTGGTTATAACAAAGTAAATGAAAAATAGTCTCGTAAGAGATATAGTGTTCTTGATGCCTCGCATTTGTGCTGTGCTTTCAGAAGTGGACGTTGGCCTGTAACACAAGGGTAGACATTCTTCAGTCTGGTATTCTTTGGCCATGGTGGCAGCAGCCACTGTAGAAATTCTGGCATCCAGCATGTTTGAATTAAAAGGTTCTTCTCTCAAAAATTTTACCCTGCATTACGATCTTGCCTCTAATGTCAAGCTGACTTTCAGGAACATGAAAATGTGGTCAGTGCTCTAGTGAGTAAGATTGCTGTGGCTACCTCATTATGTACTCCATCTTTTGTATGAAGTGATGGAGATACGCAAGCAATGTAGAAATTACCAAATTTTTGGGCACTTTGAAAATTTGAGCGAATATTGCAGTATTGGAATCCACTTTGGCGTGAAATCAAATTATTCGAAGTTTTGAATTATATGAAATGAATGAGTAGTATACAGTCAAACATTCACGTTGTGACGTCCCCGCAAACACGGACTGAACCCCGGTCCTTTCAAGATGTTTTTGCTCGTTTCTTAAACCCACGCATAAAAAAAGGAAAGAAAATCTTCGGTGTAATGAATAGGCATTCCAGAGTTGAGTACCTGGAAGGATTATTTCTACTGTTCTCACGGGTCCCCCCCGCGCAAACACGAGGACCAGGCGGCACCTTGTCTACAGACAGTGTGACAGTGTACGGTGGCAATAATCCGCGCGCACCCTTCAGATTTGTGGCATGGGGGAGCAGCAGAGCACCTTTTGTTGGTTCAGGGAATGCGACCCCGCTGCAGCGCCTGTGCCAGGTCCGGCCTGACTTCCCGTCAGCCTCTGTGGTTCCAGGGCTCATTACTGCGTTCTGCGCGGATGGCCACCCGCGGCGTTGAATGACGAAGAAGCGGCGGCTGCGGAGAATTTCGCGGGAGACACCGAGCTGCATGGAAACGTTGAGACTCGTTCTGGACATCGGCTCATCAAGTACCAGGAACCGGGGCAATTGGTTCGGCCCGAAAACATTTTGGCACAACACTGCAAACTCCGGACGTTGGCCATCACAGACGACGCACTTTGTCGGAAGCATCGGGACCATTGTTCGCCCGTAATTAAAGTGTCTTGGGACAGCTCGCCCATTTCTCTCTCTGAGGCTTGAGTTTGTACATTGTTACTTGCTCGGCTTTGTTTGGGAGAGGGTTTTCTACTGGTGTGGGCCGCGGGGGCGGCCGTCGAAGACGACACACTCCGACTGACAAGATAATATGCCGCGTCGATAGTGGCGATTGGTTTGGTGCCCCGGTAGGGCGGAGTCGGGTTCTACAAAAAGGGACTACGAGAGGATACGAGGGGGGGGTGAAAGATACGATGCGAAGAGGAGGCAGAGATATTATGCGATGAGCTTGAGATGGTAGAGAGATGGAATGGAAAAGGAAGATAACGGTGTGAAGAGATAGCGATGAGAGTCATACTAGGGAAGGAGAGCTAAGATGGAAATCACTGAGAGGCACGACGTAGGCGACGATGACGAAGACGATGAAGACGCTGACGAATTGGACAGATCAGACCTCGACGCCAAGAACCAACCTTCGGCCCCGATTCGAGCAGGCAACTCCGAGGCCCCGACTACATGGACATACTGTGAGACGAACTTTACTTCCCTTACTTAAACAAGCTTTGCGGGAAGGGATGCGGCATATTGAGACATTGCGCGGTTTTATTAATTAATGACTTTATCATTTGTGTCGTCCTGTGTTTACTCTGTATTGAGGAACCCTTGTATTGTCACCGTTACTTCGCTTATGTATCCTGTTTCGCGTGTCGCGGGTATTTGCTGATATGTTACAATTTCGTGTAACAGAGATGTCGTTCAGGGACAGTATGTGTGTACTCCATTTGCACTTGCTATTGAATTAAATGCGTCCATGATTAAGAAAAGATCGTGACGCCTCTTACTTCTCGGCCCCAACACGAATCCCTGTATGTGGAAAGTGATTGAGACGCGTAGCCAAGAGGGAACCGGATAAAAAGGGGTTGCGTGGTCTTCCCTCTTTTTGGCAGTCGGTGGCGTAGCGAGGGACGTCTCAACGTAATAAACACATATATAAAAATTATCAGTTATTACAAAGTGAAGATTAATTTTGTCATAGATACAGTGTTACAAATATACGTTTATAACCAATTTTTGGATATAATACAGTACTTTTCAGGCAGGTGCGACTTTGATATAATGAAGTTTTAAGGAACCCCAGGTGGTGGAGATTTCCGGAGCCCTCCACTACGGCGCCTCTCTTAACCATATCATGGTTTTGGGACGTGAAACCCCAGATATTATTATTATTGAGAGATGAACGCGAGGGAAGAATTCAAGTACGAGACCAATCACGTTAGAGCCAGTGGATCCGTTTAATCAAGGGATTTTCATTTACCAAGTGTCTACTGTATATCGGTGGGCAAACTTCAAACACTTTCTTCCTGGTGACATCCTTGAACGAAGTGGTTTGTAGTGAGAAGTGGTTAAAGCATGATCATCAGTTGGTTACTTATCGACATTAGGGTTCATTGCCTAGGGGATGAGACATGGGGCCTTCTACTGTGAATACAGGTGCAGTGCATTCGTATGGAGCTACGAAACCACAAGCTGTCCCAGGTTCGAGTTGAGAGCGTTGCCAACGTTCAAGGTATGTGTGCGCTGATCTCATCTAAGTCTCTGAGTGGACATACTGGTTCACTTGTTGCTCCTTTGTCAGTGAACAGCACATGTTCACTGGCATGAATTGTGCATTGTGTCTCCCGCAGTGTCAAAAAGGCTCCTGGCCATTTTGTAGTTCACGTTGTGTTTTCAGCCCCAATAGAGTGGTCTCTGTGCTAAAAAGGGAATAACAATCCAGCCAACAAAATTTGACAAAAAGCACGCTGTGAGTGACATTTCGTGCAAGTGTGAGATTGTTTACGAGATCCAGACCTCTGGTGGCAGTTCCGGCATCGTGCAGATGGGAACTTCCATCTGCACAGTGTAGGTAAGGTGAGGCTCCTGAGAACACTGTAGCCAAATATTATAGTGCAGCGCACAGCCTGGAATTCACATTAAGTTGTCAAAGTTGCCTAAAGATTGCTTTCTCTTCTCTCGACAAATTACGCTACAGGCTCAGAAATCATTGCGTCACGGGCTAAGTATCAGCCATTGGCTGATTTGAACATTGCGTGCTTGGTGGTCATTGGGGCTGCCGCGGGAGGCCGCAACTTGTCCACGTGTGTGTACGGGATTACGCTGAAAAGTTGTGCTATCAAAGAAAGAAAAAAAAAAGAGAGAAAGTGCTCAATGTCACTAGGCACACATGGTGTATCTTCTTCCCCCGTGCTATCCCTTTCTCTCTAATTGCAAACTAGCTGGCACAGCAAACAGCCACCCCTGATTACTTTCAATTATTCAAAGTTCTTTGCATCCCATTTTTTGTACCCTCTATTTGTATGTTTCATGAACTCAAAAACCCCTCAATTCGAAGATGTTTTGCAGTCAAAGGGGCTTCAAATCAACGAGGTTTTATAACTGTGCGCAGCTAACCAGCATGTGTTTCAGATCTCCTGCGTTGATATTGAGCACATTGCATTTTTGTTTGTTTGTTTGTTTGGATAGTGCTCGACAGGGGTGAAACAGCTTCGCCATTGTGCGCCAAACTTGCGTACCTGCGCCATTTTGCGCTGAGCCTCAGCTGCTGCGTTGAACTCGCCAATCAGCGCCTTACTGCACCGCAGCACCCTAGTTCAGCCGCAAAGTACAAAAGCAATCAAGTGTTGTGCCGGAAAACGTGGCTGAAACATTGTCTTTTTGGTGTCATTGAAATGGTTATACTGTAGTTTCGATTTGGTAAAAACTGTCATTGCTCCAAGAGCTGCCGTGAACTCAAATCCTAAAATCCTGGTCCCGATCGCTATGCGCGCGCAATCACGGCAGGCATCCACGCGAATAGCTCGTAAACCCTTTTACGTGATGCGCTTCTCAATGCGAAGAGACTGCGAGAAGAGCTTCTCTGCCTGACATGGCTTTATTCTCTTACACGAGCGTTTTGTAGAGTTATGCGATATTGGATCAGTTTGCTGCTATCGCATTCATTTCTTCCCCATTCCGGTGAAACTTTTACGTGGTGACATCGTTCGAAAAAGAAATAAAGCACGGCAGCCACGGTGCTCAAAAAAAGGGGGTGGTGTGTCATTCCTGGAACAGCGTAACAAAGACAGGTGCACATGACTACTCATCGAGCATATGTGCATATTTTTATTCATTTGGCCCCTGTGCTTCGCGCCTATCAACTCGGTGGTTCGAGTTGATAGGTGCGAAAAAAAAAAAAAAAAAGAATGCATGGGTGGCTGTACATAACTAAAAAAATTGGCCCCGTATCTGCATGTTACACTGCAAATGTCGTCAAAAGACGATAGTCTTGCGTATGGAGAGAGTGACCGAAACGTTTATTTGATGTTCTGTGCAAAAAAATCGAGGAATGGTATTCTGGAGGCGCTGTGTTGGAGTGCCTCGAGCATGCAGCGGAGGCGAACGGGCACATCAAGTCACGTCACACGTGAGACATGAGCGCTATCCGGCAGTTATCTTGGAAAATGGAACGCGCGCATCCTGTGCACCCGTCTCGGAGGTGATAAGTTGTAGAACGCAAGGTGACGGGTAGGTGCCACCACCGTGTCATCTTAGCAAAGCGTTGGAGACACTTGCCTTTTCGTGCAAGCGTTGCATGGTTAGCGCAGTGTGATAAAAGCTATGGTCCTTAGAATTACTTATGTATGCCTTTTGTAGTAAAACATACACATACATATTATTGACATGTTGTTATGGTGTCTCAGATATGCGCAATATTTGCTTTTTGTTTGACAATTGCACAAGTATGAACGCTGAACCTTGAGCAATATTGGTGGGTGCTGAAGATAGGGTCGGCCGTTTGGAGTATCGTTTGGCAACTTTAATGCCGTTTAGGGTACCGTTAAGGGCGGACAAACAGACAAGTGTACAGATAGACCGACAGACCAAAATTTTTGCGTCGAAGGTCCCCAAGAAAGACTATCGTCTTTAAAAGTCATAGTTGCACCGCGAGGGTGAAGCAAATGTGACAGAAGCAAATTGTAATGGTATACGAAGTGAGGCCGGTAGCTAACTCCTTTGGATCTGATCTCACGTAACTACAAAACACTGGTGTACGAGGTACGGCCGCTTCAAGTGGAGCTACACTTTTTGCACAGTCTCTTCTTGATCAGACTTCAGCACGCAGAAATGTATGCGAGTTGCCTGCTGCCGGCTGCCAAGCTATCACGTGTGCCGGTGATCGCGACCAGGCCCTTGAAAGCAAAGGCCATAGTTGTTACTCGAGCCGTGACTGCCCCTCCTTCCTCCTCTTTTTTTTTTTCATGCTCTTCTAGGACGGGTGCTTTGACTTCAGGCCTCTCGGGTGGGGATACCAGATGTTGTCGCATGCGCCCTCCGAGTTGCGGAGATAGCTACATAGTTAGATCTCTGCTTCAACCATATTCGTCGCCCCCGCTCGCGCCCTTCTGCCTGCGGATAGAACATACAGTGGGCAGGGGTATGTTATCAATTTGGAATTCTTACGAGACATGACAGCAATGGCAGAAGCCCATTGGGAGTGTTCATATAATTTTCTTGGCAATATTGAGGCTATTGCATAATTTAACTGAGTGTTTGAAAAATGCAGTGTTCAACAAATGTTGCTTCACAAGTGCTTTGAACGGGGCTAAATCTGCGCGGAATGTTCTTGCTGCTTTAAACGTGCTTGAAGATATGCTTCTGGCTGCTTCAAACCTCCTTCAAAACATCTTTCTGGTTGCTCCAAGCCTGTTACAAAAAGCACTTTTGCCTGCTCCCAGGACTTCTCCCAAACCCATGTTCCTTGTTCCACCCGTGACTCAATTTTGAAGCAGAAGTCCACTTTAGTGATGTCGATCGGAATTAGGGAAAAATCAGCGTGGCGTTGCAGCGAAATAGTTACGATTGGAACCACTTGGTACCATTTTGCAAATTCCGAGTCGGGTTTCGGTATACATGCAACCTTCGATGTAATAAACCCAATTATAATGAATTATTGCTTATAACAAAGTAATGAAGAATAGCTTGCCAGTATATAAAGTGTGAGGAATATATTTTTATAACCAATTTTCCTTTATAACGAACTTGTTTTTGCATAAGATGCAACTTTGTTATAATGAAGCGTGAGTGTATTTGCTTGTTGCATTCTCACATTGCCGCTGACTACAGGAAAATAGATTTATAAATGTGGCGATCGCACAACTAGGTGTGAATGAATGGCTTAGGTGCCTCGCTTCGCAGGCAAGGAGTTCCGTGCCGTGGTTCTGAGTACGGTTCGTACTCGTGCCACCTGCGTACAGCTGGAGCGTAATACGCCCTTCAAGACTGCGCTCAACTTCGGCTTTCTCTCGGACGCCAAGCTTCTCAACACTGCCCTGACGCGGGCGCAGTCGCTCGTCGTCGTCGTAGGGGACCCCATCTCGCTCTGTTCCATCGGTGACTGTCGGTAGGTGCTTGGGTGTTGGCATGTATAATTGCGGTGGTGCAATGTTGAAATGAACGTAGGATTGTTAAACGAGCATAGACGATGAGGCACTCCCATGTACTGACCAGGCACTTTGGCCAATTGATAGAAGCACATTGTCGTCTGAGGTTGTTTTCATGTTTCCGTGTTTTAATAACAGAAATGTGCACGTGAGAAAACACCTGCTTGCATAGGAGTACCTGATGGAGTGGATAGAAAGTGCCTTTCATTCAGTGGTGTTTCGTGTTGGGAATTTTCCCTTTTTTGGGGAATTTTCAGGCGTCATTCAGGACAAAAGAGAAAAAAATAATTTTTACAATATTACTGGCAATTTCGGGACTGGTAAAATTCACCAATGAGTACCGATTTAGTGCGCTCAAAGTGCGCCTTCGGCTTCTGCAACTGGTTATGGCACACGCAAGCATAAAACCCTTGATATCAGTTTGATAATTACAAGAAATGTCTTGTAGTTCACTCTTAAGGTGGACTCCAAGGTCACTACTTGCAATGTACTTACAGCTTATGAGTTGATAAAATCACGCCTTTGTTGTGCAGGAGGCAGGCGTTAGTCTTGAATTCATTAGTCGCAAACACACCACACACATGCATTTGTATGTGTGTTTCGGGGCGCGCAAATATTGCAACTAATGTGCCAGGAAATGAGCTGGGAATTTTGTCAGCATATGCAGGAAAAAATGCCCAGAATGGGGAATTCTCATGTCTCGAAATCGGAATTCTTCGGCCTAGTATGAAACATCACTGCTTTCATTGCAGCTTAACAAGTAGAGCATCGGATTCTTAATTTGGATCCTATCGATAGAAACGTTGGCATTTCATCCGCTGTAATCCATTTCAATTGACTATATTATAATTAGACTACTGTTAAGCACAACAGTCCCCTAAGCATTTTGTGGCCTAATTGTCTATAGCATTCATTTGGTTGACACGTGATATGCTATTTCAACTTGCCCCTATGATAGCATTAATTAATGTGATGTTTGTTGCTGGCACAGCCTCTTTGAAGGGACGCTGCAGTGCTCTTCAAACACAGTATTAAGTGTGCTTTTGATGTGTAGGCAGTGCTGTTGGGGCCCATGTGTGTGTTTGCTGGACATGCGAGCCAAATGGTCTGCTGGAAGCTCGTGACATTTCTGTGCAACGGATTGCCTACCCTTCCTTCCTTTCTTTCCTGAAGTAGCCGCTCATTCTTCCCCCTTGTGCATTGTGGCCGATAGCGTTTTCGGGAGGAGGGTGGCCCATTGGGAGTGGCATTGGAGCACACATGTGCTGCACATACAGGAGGGTGGTTCTTAGGTGGGCTCTTGCTGGTTCACGAACATCGTTGCTGGACAGCGCAACAAATGGGATGATGAGTGCGCGGGATGCGGCTCTGCAGCCGGTGCAATCATCGTCCTGTTTCGTGTGTAGTTCTGTTGCAATATCTGTACAGAATGCTGTTTTTAGGAAGCAAGAAGCAGCGGTAGCTATTTGTGGGGCTTACTTGCCTCGTGTAATTCTGTGGTGCCAGGCGGGTAAAAATGAAATGGACAGGCTTGTGCGAATAGTGATTGTGGACGAATAATTTTCTAACCGAATTCGTATAGTGTAAATCACACATAAAAAAAGGGCATATTTGTGATAACCCAGCTAAACTGTGCAATATTCTTTAGAAACTGAAACAAGGCCTGTGCAAATGCCATTTTTTCAGTTGAAAAGAAGTAGAAACAACTTTGAATAGTAGCATGATTTGACTTTGTTTAGATTGCTAGGGATGACCTGTAAGATATCTTAGATTTTAAAAAGTTGCCATACAGGAGCATATAAGCCGGTATCACTAGCTTTAAAATGATGAATCGATACGAATCAATGTGATGAATGGATGTGCATTCAGCTTCAAAGAGGGGCTTTGGGCAGTGTGGACTTCCCCTAGATAGATGTTTTTGATGCTTAGCTCTCTTTTACTGCAGTGAGACCATCTTTACAGGGGTTATGCAGCTTACTATGAATCTATTCGTTCATTTCGAGTACTTCGAAATCTTTAATAACTTCGATTCAAATTGAAGCCAATTCGAATACTGCAATAATTGTTTGAATATTTGTGCTAGCTTTTTTTATATTGACAGGAAGAATTTATTTCCGAAACATATCAAAATTGGCTATTTTCTCTTGGTAGTGAAAGAGTTAAATTTGTTTCCTTTCTTGTGCTGGTCATGTCAAGGTGCATTAGCGAATCGCTCATCAAACCATCCTTCTCGTGTCTTTTTTGTTATGTGACATGATCATTTAGTTCAATCATAATTATTGTTCTACATTGTCTATGTTATGGTCCACAAAGGAACTGTGGCAAGAAGTGTGTAGGTGAGCCTTAGCGTTAACGAAAATGTTCGGTGGGCATTGTTTTTTGTTAAAAGGGGGACACTGTGGCAAAATGTTTCTGCGTCATCGTTGATTCGGTGTCTGTCCCTCTTGCAGGACACTTTGGGAGAAGTTTATCTCGACCTGCGCTCGACTGGGCAGCCTGTATTGTATGCGATGGGAGGACATTAAGTATCAGCTGGAAGGGTTTGAGCTGCAAAAGGAGTACGGCCTTAACCCACACGCCAAGTGTTTTTGGCCCAAACATCCTTTCCTGGACATAAATCCAGTGGCCCATCCACAGCTGCCCACTCAGCCGACAGTGGCACCTGGATTCAAGGGGCCTCCGTGCTCAACATATTCATCCAGCCACATGCCAGCAGCCCGACCTAACTGCTACGTGCCCGCGATAGACCGTCGTCTATTCAACATGCCGCCCCCCAGAGTACCTATCAACATGCCGCCCCCCAGAGCCCGCTATCCTCCACCCTTGCTGAACAGCCAAGTTGCGCCTAGCCTGTGGCACGGCCCCCCGCCACTGCCAGTGCCACGCTCGTTGAACGAGCAGCAGGTGAACAGGATGTATGCCCTAAAACAGGTGCAGCTGCAAGCACAGAGGCAACAGCACCCTCGGCAAACGTGGCCACAGCACAGCTGGCCTGCACCGGAACATCCGGAGGCCCAGTACCAGCACTTTCCTCCTGCGCCACCTCGGCCAGTCGGTCAGCCACTGTACCAAGGACAGTCGGTGAACTTTCCTTGGCCATTCCCTTCTCACAGACCGCCAATGCCCGTTCCTCAGCAGCAGATGCCCCCTGAAATTTCATCTAGACAGCTGCAGACCGAACAAAAGCCAGCTGCCCAGCCAAGTGCACAGCCGAAAGCGGTGCACCTTCAAGCGAGCAGCTATGGACAGAATCTCGTCCAAACGGAACAGCCGCGCAAGCAGTTGCAGAGATCGCCTCTTGGGTTTAACTCTGAAATAAGTTCTTCCGCAAGTGACTCGGGTAGAGCCCCCGTAGCTGCGGCTTCAGCGAGGGCGACGAGCGACAGTCCAGACGCAGCCTTTCGTAGCATGATGCTTGGTGAGGAGGACGAGGAAGTAGGGTGGAAGTCTGTCAGCACAAACAAGCCACTGACGAATGGAACTGTATCTGAAACGAGGTTGCCCCGCAAAAAGAAAGCGGTTGCACCACGATTTGCCGCTGCCATGCAGCATTCGAGTCGGCCGACCCGTCAACCCGCCAGCCAGCCGGACAGGCCAGCAAAGGCGCCTCTTAACGGAGTGATCGCCGGGAAAAGCTTTGCAGGCACCGGAGCTGTCACTCAAGCTCCGCAGTCGTCACAGTCTGCTTGGCCTGAAGTCCGCAAATCCAACTGTGCCACGCAGAACGGTGCAGCACAGGTCAAGCCCAAGGAGTTTAGGAATTCCGTCTGTTCTGGAGGACAGAGCCGTGCGCCACAGTCTCAGGAGCTAAAGCAGAAGGACAGGCCGACAGTCGCCTACGTCACTGCTGTGACAGAGCCCGTGGCATGGGATACTAAGGTTTTCCGCGAGACAAAGCGTTCGACAGAGCGCGGAGCCTCTTCACCCGGGACCATCAACAACATCAATTTCGGCCTGGATCTGTACAAAGCACTCACCAGCGACGACGTGTCCCACAAGGATCGCTCCAAGGACTCAACAAAGCTGACTGATGCTCTTAGGGTAGGATTTGCCCAGGCTGGATATTCGCAGGCCACTGCTGGGCAGAGGACAGCTGAGGACCAGACAACAGTGGGATCCAAGTTTGGTCCCATTGGAAGCAGGATACCTGACAAGCCCAAGCTGTCGTACAGTGATGCTCTGCGTAATGGCCAGACGAATGGTTCTGTTGCGCCCAACACCAGCAAACGTTGACAGATGGAGCAGTGCTTGCATGTGTGCCCGATAAGCTGGTGTTGGCGACTGTGCAGTTTATGTGCGTCTGCTGGTCAGACATGGAAGATAGCACGCTGGGTTGTTTTTCACGACCAGGAAGTCGTCACTGTTTTGTGGAACATCATAAATGTGAATATCTTAGTTTTCTTCTAGCGGTGTGCCAGAATACTCTGACGCGTGCATTCTATCTTTTTTTATCATTCTGGACCACCAGCAGTCTGATTAATTTTAAGTTGGTGTCAGGTGCTGCCGTATCAGCTAATTTGCTCCAGCGGTGCCCCTTTGTACGTAGATGCTAAAAATGTCTGCGTCGTGTGTTTAATTTTAAAGTATTGCGTAGTACAAGTTTCTTCCTCATTCTTTCTTCAGTGGAACTTTTGATTGTTTTGCGAAAGTTCTTTGCCGTTTCGTTTGCGTCGATTGCGTTTCTATGACGTGCTAAGCGTGACCGTCGATGCGCACCAGCTCGCTGCGCAAATGTCCACTCTTTGAAGGAATTCAACACAGGCGAAACAGAGCATGTGGTTGCCATACTCATCTTTGGACGTGTGCATTGCGCCAAGGCGCTTGTGTCTTCGTGATCACTCGCAAAAGAATCTGGCCGAGACGGCAAAGCCATGCAGTTTCGTCTCGTCCATGCTTGGAACGGCCGTGTTCCTGATCTCTCGCAGCATTTTGGTCTTTCTAACGCTAAATCTGTAGCGTCGCTTACGCCATTTTTGTTTTCTTCCGTTCATCTCGTGCTCTGCCTTGATGGCAGTGCTTCTCCAGGGAAGAGGAATGTCCGAGGTTTTCCGCAATTTGCAGTTCATTGGAACTTTTGCAATGGCGAACAGTGCTTCGTGGTCTGTGATAGGCGAGGTGTAAACAGCTGTGCACGATTCTGTGCTGCCCTTTTAGGGCAAAAGCGCTCAGTGCGAATTTATGTGCACATCCTAAATTATCTCGAGCGTTGTTGCAGCGTAGACAAGTATACCATAGCAAGCTCGTGTAAAAAAAAAAAAAAGACGGTATTCGGGGATGCGAGTGTCTCTATTAATGTCCACTTTTGCTTGAGCTACTTTGTGCAGTTTGTTGGGTGGCGAATCGGTTTACTTTTGCATTTGAAGATATTCGGTACTGCTCCTGTCACTTCAAGGTCCAATCTAGGGGTCATTGCCTCGATAGTAGAGCTTACCTGTCCATTTCAAATTTCGCTCATTTTACAAGACTGCCAGGAGTATCCTTAGGGACGGTTTACAGAGTTGTCCAGGAGTGCTGTTTGTGCGGACGTGGAAGAACATTGGACCAATGTCAATGTGGCCGTGTTAAGCCTGCCTCCGTTTCGAGGTTCTAAGACGAATGGTAGCGATAACCTTGTCTTGAATCTGCATAAATTGTGGATCTGATGACCCATTGTGTGGCTCTGCATTTGTTGTTAGTCTTGGGTAGCGTGGGATTAAATTGTTGGGGTTTCAGAAGTTCGCTCGAAATTATCGCTGGATGTAAACGTACTGTCTATATGTGTGGACGACTTCAAGGTGTCGTCAGTGCTTTTTCTTTGAGTGCGTCCGGGTTAACGTCAAAAGCTGTTTTTATTTTTAGTTTACTGCTGATGCAAGTTGTGTCATGATCGGTCATAAAGTAGAGACAAGGAGTGTGTCCCCTGCGTAGGAAGGCGTCACCTTTACGACATTTGTCGCTTATTTTTTTTAAAGCGCTTGGAGGTGGTGTTTGTTTTTTTTTTCTTCATAAATGAAGTGACCCTTCCTATCTCCTTTCCCCTTCCCTCCACATTTGTCATGCACAGTTGTGAGAGCTATTTTGAATCTGAGACTTGCGTGGGCACATTGTGGGATGTGCACATGTGTGACATGCGTAGAGTGTGATGTGCACAGTGTGTAACATGCACCTAAGTGATGTTTTTGAGATTGTGATCTATGCGAGGTGGTCGAGTGTGCTCCTACTTTAGCCGACGCCTCACGGGAGTATTGCGGCGCTGCTGTTAATGACTTGCTTGTGACTGTTGTGAAGCGAATCCTTTCTTTTCTGTCAATGCTCGATCTAGAAAGTACGACTTGTGAGACCGGGACATGTCAGTGAGCTTCCGGTACACAGAGTGTCATCTGCAGTAAAATACAAGCTTGTCACAAAATGTTTGCATATCCGAGAGGGTAGCATTTGTTTGAATCCCTAGTCCAGCTACATTTGTGATTTTGCCACTTCTGAAGGAAATGAACTGTCCAGCTAGTATTGATTATAAACTAAATATGCATTATGTCTTTTGAAGACATTTTATTGTTCTTTTTGATTTTCTTTTGTGTTGGCTGACAAAATTTTATTTCATAGGGCTCTGTTAAGTTAATAAGAAGAACTGAAGTCAGTAATAATGCCGATATAGCGACTTTCTCTCATTTTTTTTTTGTCATGGGTTCGAAGGGTCATTATAAACACCCATTTGACAAACTACAGGTCGAGTGGTTTTGTAACGATTGCATTGCAAAAATAATGAAATAAGGAAAGTAGTTGATTTAAATATCCCTTTTGAGCTGCTGCCAGCCATTGCAAAACTTAAACCACGAATTAGTTTTTGATTTTTTTTCTTGGAACAACTCTAATAAAATAAGGCCCGTGTACTCAGATTTGGGTGCACGTTAAAGAACCCCAGGTGGTCAAAATTTCCGGAGCCCTCCACTACGGCGTCTCTCATAATCAAATAGTGGTTTTGGGACGTTAAACCCCACAAATCAATCAATCAATCAATCAACTCTAATAAAATAGGAGCATTGGAGACTAAACATGACCTGATCTTGTGAAAAATAGAAATAATGCAAACAGAAAAATTTCAGGACAAAAAAGAAGAGCGAATGAAGCCATTCATAGCGATGTTCGCAGGCTTAAAAACTGGCGTTTTAGCAATGCTTAACATGCAAATCACTTGGTGCAGTGTTGCGACGGCTTGGGACTGTCAGCTATGTATCGTGGCGCCTTGTATGAGTTGCAACAAAGTGGACACGGTTGAAATGGCCCCAACCTTACACTGTAGCACCTACAAATGTAAAATTCGTTTGGAGATACCAGTATCTGAAACAATTCCTACGTTATTCGTTTTTTATGTTGGCACCACCACGCAGTGTTGGCGACGCTTTGAACACGGGCAGCGCGTTGCAACTTGTGCTGGCCACAATAGTACGAGCCATGCAGCTGTGATATCATTCTGGGCAAGGGTCTCCCCTTGTGCTGAGCTAAAAACCATCTGACATGGCTGTGGTGCATTGCTACTAATAGAGCAGTTGCAAAGCTGTTCACGTGTTTCTGTGTGTATGCGCTGCGTGAGTTGGCAGCAAATTGCTCGGCGGCACATTGTTTGGTGGAGTGGATCAGCAAAGTGGATCAACAGATTGGTAGGGTAGGGTCTGTTTGTACATCTTAAGCTTGGGATCACACGGCCTGAACAGAAACGTATGGCATAAGTTATCAAAAACGTTACACGTCACTCTCGACTCTGGCTGCGTCAGTAGCAACACTTGGAAAATAGAACTGCAAAGTGGCACGGCGTACTGGCCCCACTGCAGCTCGGGACAGCCACTGACACTGGAAAAAATGCGACGCTTACGCAACATTAGTGAAAACCTTGCCTCTCGTTCATATTGTACATTAGTAATTCGTACGTGATGTTTCTGTCCACGTCTCGTAATTCTGAGCTGTTTAGGTGCAAATAGACTGCCCTGATTAGCAGGCTGGTATGCTGCGTACATTCATTTTAGATCTACAATGGTGTGCTGTATTGGTATGGTTGCCACGTTATTAGAGAAGCACGGAACAGCGCTTCGAACAGGACAAAGTGAATATGCGGACGTGATGCTGATTAGCTACTGCTGTTTGGTGTGATTCAGCTGAAATACTTAGGAAGCAGGGTGTGCACCAAAGTTGAGAATGACCCAAAATTAAGGATGTCAAGCCACATATTAGTAGCAGGCTTGTAAGAGCCTCATTCTACTGTTGTGTAGAAATATGGAGGGTTAGCTACTGCAAGGATCACCGTGTCAACAAACACATCTTGCTGCAGTTATCACTGGCACACATTGCTCTTGTGATTTTTCCACGAACCGCCCGACAGACTCCATCTTTTATTTGTGCCAACAGTCAACCAAACAACTGGGGATTGAGCTCCTGAGAAGGAATGTGTGTTTCCGGGATGTCCAGAGTGGCTAATCAACAGTATTTGAAACATCATGTGCAGATTCCTCACTCGTGTTCCACTCTTAGATGCAAAACTTAAGTATTGCCAAGTTTTTTCTTTTTTTTTTGGCAGTCGAGTAAAGTATACTTGTGCTAGAATAAACACCCAAAAAATAACGAGAGTTCTAACTTTGATATTACACTAATCGGTTAAATACTAATTGGTTAGCCGAGCTTATCGACAAAGCAAGCATCCCCAGCTTATCAAAAGGGCAACTTCACAGGCTATACTTACAATTCACATGTATAAATTTCAATTAGTAGGCTTCAGAATGACATAGCACAAGGATACCTTGGGCATTACAGGGTATAACTGCCTTTATTTCTTATCACCCTGTGTGGTTATTCTAGCATTGCCCGCATGTAAACTCTGGTGAAGGCACAAGACTCCTTGTTGAGCCTCGATACTGAGAATGATTCGATGTAGCGAAATTATGCATGATTTGGTTGACCATCCTTCGCTTCAGGGACATATTATAATGAGACTAGAAATGCGAGACCTGCCACATTATGGGCGGTAATTAAAAAAAATCTTGTTTCTGTGGCACTCAACATTTGGAAGTAGCATAAAAAGCAACGTTAATATTAACAACAATTCACAGCCACATTGTTTCAATTGTCTCAAAAATTTGGAAAAGTTTGGTCATAGACTGCAGAAACGCAACAAACCGTGCAGGAGGCGATGGTCTTGTTGAAGAACATGCGGACCGGGATCGACTTAAGGGATACAATGAACTAACCAAGGGGTTCTACTTGGCCCGCCAATGCTATCCTCCGCCTTATGACAGTTTATGCAGAGCCCAAGCAGTTACCTGGCGACAGTTGAAGATGATCACTTATCCTAATCTTCTGATATGTCACCAAATATACCCTGAGATATATAGCACCAACATCTGTAACGTCTGCCAGACAGACACAGCTACGCTAACACACATGCTCTGGGAATGCGAGGCTAAAGTGAAGTGTATTCTCGATGTTCTTTCGGCGAGGTGGGGAGCCGCTCTGCAGAGCTACAAGCTTGCCGACCAACTCTGGGCAGTCCAGCAGGCCCGTGAAGTGGCGGAGAGACAAAGCCTAGACGTGCCGACATGAGAGACCTGAGCCCGAACCACTAATTTGCCGAACAATAAATAAAGTTTTTCCACTACCACCACCACCACTGCAGAAAAACAAGTGTTAGGGCTGGTTGGGCCCCCGTATGAACCGAAGTTTGAAATGCGACAAGGAGACAGCTAGGTAGGTATTTCCTTGTTGGTAGTGGATTTGAAGACTATGATCACACGTTTTTGTACCTAGAATTTTTGCATGAGTGGGACTGTTGGTGCTGATTTTTATCTCTATTGTAACCACAAATGTCGGGTATAGAAAACTTATTTATGGTCCCAATACCTGGTGCTGTTTGTCAACACCACGTGTGTCGTTCTTCCTTTGCCCTGCCTAAAGCTCCGTTTGATTTTGTTAATTTAAAAAGCAGCAGAGGTATTGGCATATTGTCAATTTTATTATGGCGCTTCTCCACATGGTAGCCGTGGATGGGTGACAACTGTGGGCATGGCATAATAACTGTGGGGATGGGATTGAGTATGATTTTGTTCATTTAAGGAGGCAGACTGGTGTTAGACATTTTTGTTTATTTCTTCAGTGATCTTGATCAAACTGCACATGATTATGCAGTTTTTTCTGCTGATTTCAAACATGTAATTAGTTTTCCTGTAACTGGTCTTGTTCCCGAGATAACTTAAGTTCATCCCCTTTTGGTTAACGCTGCCATAGAAAAAAAAGTGCTTAATTAGAAGTTATATTCAAGATATGCTAACATAGACCAGTAACTATAGATTGAAAGTATGCAAGAGCTTTTTGTTTATAGGCCTTTCTTGGTTATTTTACAGTAAAATGAACTATCCATATTCAAAAGCAGTTGGAATTGTGTTACAATTTTGATGAGTAATTAATTAAAAAGGCTTGTGCTCTAAATTCTGCTCCCATATTTCCACTCTACACACATACAGGTTTCCATTTCAAAAAGAATTATTGTTGTACCTGCCCTTGCTGCAGAGATATTGAGACCTCAAAATGGAACAGCCGTAAATTTACTTCTTTTGAGAAAAATGAAAAAAAAAAAAAAAAACCAACTGAAAACACAGCTTCTTCAAAAAGTAACAATCATGGTGCGCATGTTTTGAAATCCTCATAAAGGTGCTCATAAATTCGTAGCAGAGCTTCGAACACAGCTGCCGGCAAATTATAAAGAAGCCTTGAAGTCGGTTCCCAATATTCTCGCCTCGCAGGTTCTGCATGTTAACAGCACCAAGAATCTGGACAGTTAGAATGACACTACAAAAAAAATTACCATTTCCTGGTGTGTGAAAATATGCAGAGATACTTGCAGGAACCAAAAATGTCAGTTTTAAAAAATGAATTTTTTTGTCGCTTTTTGGTCCCAGTCTGCTCCCTTCTTAAAACACGGAGTGGTCAGCCTCTGGTGAATTTTGTTGTATTGTTACTCTGCTTGTGGTGGTGCACGGTGACAATGGTGGCTGTGGCTTCGTAGCTGCAGAACTTCGGACTCATTGTGAAGCCAAGGCGCTCTTGTGAAGTGAAATCGTTGATCACGTGTGCGGGTTTTCTGCCTTTGTGGCCACTAAATTAAAAAAATTTTTTAAGGTGCATTGCAGTTCTTTGTGTGAATTTTTTTGTCAGTTCCGCTTGGACAGACGTTTTCTGTAAAAGCTGATAATTGAAGCATGTCGTGGCCTATTACTGACGATCGTTTGTTTCTGTGCATCAGTTACATGTGTATGTGCTAATGATCTCCCATAAACATGGCCACCTTTAGATTGATTTGTGGGGTTTAACGTCCCAAAACCACTATATGATTATGAGAGACGCACCTTTCAAATTGCTGTCACCCACAATCATACGGAATTTCATGTTTTTGATATGGTCTTTCTCAAAGGTCAGATGGCTTTAATTCCTGGAATAAAAAAAAGAAAAATGATACTTTTTCATCGAAAGAAAAAAAAGTCTGCTGTGATGTAGTCTGTTTGTTTCTTGAATTTTGTCACACGCAATGAACCACAAGACATTTCACAATTGGCTTCCGTGACACTGGTGCTGAGAACTTAAGTAGCGGCGTTAGTTCATGGCTGGGTGATAAGTCACTACAAATCGAATAAGGTGCTCGTGCTTTAATGCTTAATTTTCGTGCCTTGCATAATATTAACGATCGGGAAAGGCAGGTTGACGTGGGAGCTTGTAACTTTATTGGTTTTTTTTCGAGAATATTTGAAGAAATGGTGCTCTGAAAAAAATTGTGATTGTGCGTTGCAGATACAGTTTGCAAAGTGTTCTTATGTGCTTTACTCAAGTGCTTTTATTCCAGGCTGGAAATAACGCTGCGATTTGTTTGCTCTTTGAACTTGATCTAATGTGAATTGGATACATGGGCACCATCATTGCTTCGTAAGCAATGATTTAGGATTGGAATCAAATAAGATGGAAGGACAATAACGTTTTAGCTTTTCTGAGTCGTGCAACTCTAAAGGACTACTGACGCCAACTTTTCAAGGCAAGGTTATTGTATCATGCAACTCTCTCGTATACAAAGATGGCTCTGTCCTTGAAGCTCAGACAACACTGATAAGATGTTTTTTGTTGACATTGTCGAATTTCACATGGCACACCTACTCACATGGACACTGCTGGGACGTCGGACCACAGTGTCGATTGTGGCGATTTCACGTACCAGTACAGCTAGCTGTGATGAGGTTGGGTACTAGTACATTCAAAATGTCAACACTTGTGCATCATCAAATTATCACCAGGCCTTCGCAGAGCGTGCAGCAGTCGCAGCAAAAGCTGGAAGAGTGGCTTTTCTGGAGCCTTTTTAAAATACTCTTTGGGTAACTGCTACAAACATACTTGCAGGGTACCCACCACTGTATAAATAATTTTTGTGTAGTAGGGAGACACCCACTGTGCCATTATTCATCATTTTTCGGAGAAGTGTGGTACCCTCTACACACTTGCAAGAAGTCGTGCACATTTTGTTGATGCTGTGGCTGATGTTGAAGAATTATGCCCGAGGCTTTTGTAACAGAGTTGGAGCACTCGACAATCCACTCGTTATGCAATTCCTATTGTGGGACGACTCGTCCCTTTAGTGTTCTATAACATTTTTATTACACATATTAACGAGATTCATTAAGCCAAGCGAAGCCTGCCTAGAGTCGGTTTGCAGCAGAGTTTCAAGCACCGGTGTTGCTCATTGTTAGAATGCTAGGCTGGCACGCAGGGAACCCGGGTTCCGATCCCAATCTGTCCTTGCTATTCTTTATTTATGAATTTTTTTTTTAATTTCGTGTGATAGTGGTGACCGGAGCGGTGGACAACTACAGCGCCAAATACAACCCTTGTTGTTATGTGATAACAGCTTTGGCTGTAAAATATCCGGAATGGTGACTTGTGCGTCGTCAACGGACTCGCAAAGAGTGGGATGGCCGTGCTAACATTGCGACGCGGTGTGCAAGTGCATGACTAGAAGCCCATATCATGTTGCGATGTCAGAGTTCAGGAGGAAGCGGACCAGCTCTTAAAAATTGGATGTCTTTTTTTTTTTATACTGTCGCACCATGTGAAGCATTATGGTTCGGCCACCAGAAGCATTCACACAGTTTGTGCTCCCCCCAAAACAGAACGAATTTTGTGTGCAACTATAGCGTCATCAGTCTCTTGAATGTTGTCGAAAAGTGATATGAAACAGAAACGTTATGTCAAAGTACTTCTAAACACTGCTTAATTCAGCCATGCTGATGCAATCTGCCTGTCTGAGATGGCATAGCTGCCCCAGCTCATCAGAGCTAGCAATATGGCCAGCTTAATTGTGTGCTGAAATTTGGCAGTTTTTAGAATAGCACCGCAAGACAACACTTTGCAAGTGGAGATAAAATAGCAAGATACTAGGTGAGCCACATTAAAAGTTCCCTTTCTTAAAAACAAAAAAATGGTTCCAAACCTGCATGTTACACTGCAAATGTAGTCGAAAGACGATAATGTTGCGTCTGGAGAGAGTGAACAAAACGTTTATTTGATGTTCTGCACAAGAAAATCGGTTATTGGTATTCTGAAGGCGCTGCATTAGAGTGCCTCGAGCGTGTAGCGGAGGCGAACGAGCGCATTAAGGTACGTTAGACACAAGCACCATCTGGCAGTTATCTTCGAAAACGAAGGCGTGCAGCCCACGGAGAAAGATGCGCACCAGTCTCGGAGTTGATATGGTGTAGAACGCAAAGCGACGGGCAGGTGCCACCACCATGACGTCGTAGCAAAGCGTTGGAAACTCCTTTTCGAGCATCGCGTTGCACTGTCAGCGCTGCGCGATAAACGCTACAATCCTTAGAGCTACTTGTGTGAGCTTCCTCTAGTATAAAGGCAGACCTACAAAACTTCTAAGTGTTGTTATGGCGCCTCAAATATGCGCAATAATTGCTTTTTAATTGACAATTGCACATCTATGAACGCAAAACCCTGAGCAATATTGGTGGGCGCTGCGGATTGGGTTAGCGGTTTGGTGCCGTTTGAGGTATCGTTAGGGCGGACAAACAGACAAATGTACAGACAGACAGACCAAAATTTTTTTGTCAAAGGTCCCCAAGAAAGACTATCGTCTTTAAAATTTCAGTGGCCACTACTGAGGTTCAACTAAATTCTCAAGAAAACTAGTGGCTAAATAGCTAGCCAGCTTCAAGGACATTTGTAAGGTAAGCGGAATTGCTTTGACGTGCATTATGTTTCACTGACGTATTGGCTCGGAAGTTTTATCCTAGAAAGCCTGAATATTCTTTCACATGATGGGAAATTAAATCGACTTCTTTGTCCTTAATTTTGGTCATCAGTAGAGGCCAGATTTTCAGGCACTAAAAAGTGTGTTTTAGGTGCCATAGGCAGGTAAAACACTGTTTTAGGCGCTCAAAATCGTAATAATTGGCACAATAAATTTCTACAAAAAGTGAAATATCCCAAAACAACGACGTCGGTGACTTGTATCTACCGCAAGAAGCAAAAAAAAAAAAACAATGTTAAGATAGCAGAAAGGTACTAACGATTGAACATAGGCATGCATTTCCCACGCAATTCGCGATATGTCTTCTTTCGTTTTAATGTCCAGCATTGTGCCTTGCCGTGGTGGTCTAGTGGTTATGGTACTCGGCCGCTGACCCGCAGGTCGCGGGATCGAATCCCAGCTGCGGTGGCTGCATTTCCGATGGAGGCGGAAATGCTGTAGTCAGTGTGCTCAGATTTGGGCGCACGTTGAAGAACCCCAGGTGGTCGAAATTTTCGGAGCCCTTCACTATGGCGTCTCTCTTAATCATATGGTGGTTTTGGGACGTTGAACCACACAAATCAATCAACAAATCAAGTTGATTTCTTGATTATTGATGATGATGAACCCCATGTATCATCATCATCAATGTCTAGCCTTGTGCGTCAAGTGTCCACCATTCAATTAACACTCTCCTGGGTCTCTTGTTTTGTTGTGGCTGGGAAGGGCAAGGTAGGAGCAAATAACCAGACCACTGACACCCCAGAAGAGAGGGATGCTAGGTGTATAATCGCGTAGAACCAATTTCTCCCCAATCGGTGAACACCTTAAAGGATCCCTCACTACGTTTGGACAATTTGATCTGACAAGTTTAATAGTGCACGGGGCCCTCCGGTTTATTCCTGTTAAGATTTTCAAAATTAAATGTCGTAGAAAAACGCTCAATTTCTAATGAATGCCACTTGCCCTTCTCGCGGGCGTGTGCCCCAAGATCTAGGGAGTGACGTGCAGCAAGGATTGGTTCTGTTTTTACGTCGCTCCTTTATGTTGACATTGGTGGGCTGACGTTGCATACCGTACACTCTTCTTCAGAACTTTGTTAAATGCTAGCTATATCTAGAAAAACAGACAAAAAAGTCTTGTCTCCTTATTGTACCCTGCATTTTAAACGGTACCTCATTAAGAGCATTGCAAGTGACATTACTTTACTTGGCATGTGTAATTTGTGTGTTCTGTTGTGTAGCATGAATGAGGAGTATTTTGGTTTAGGCTAGCTGCTTAATATCATTTTGAAAGGGAAACGCAAAGGCAAAAGAAAGACAGCACTCTTTCTCTCTGCGTCTTTCTTTTCCCTGTGTCTTTGCACTGCCCTTTTAAAATCAGTATAATGAATGGAAAGCTGAAAAAAATAGTAAAACATGCAAACGGAATCTCAGCTTGTTATTATTTTTATTTTGAATGGCCTTGAAATGCTATTCACTATTTGGACCTCATTTCGCGTCTACCTTTTTGGACCGGTTGCTATAGGGTGCTCCGCTGCTGAGCCGAATGCCGCGGGTTCGATTGTGGCCGCGGCGGTCACATCTAGATGGAGGCAAAAAAGTAGATGCCCGTGTACTGCGCAATGTCAGTGCATGTTAGAGAACACCAGATGGTCAAAATTTGTGTTTTTTTACGTTATACCACACATACTACCACTGCTACTACTACCACTACTACCCCATTTCGCTTGCGTTTGTCTTCTAGTCGTTCCTCCATCGCGCCTCCGCCAATCCTGACAACGCTTAGCTTGTGTTTGGTGCGGCGTCTCCGATCGCAGTTTCAGTGGAGCGATGTGTATCACGGTCACAATACATGATCCTTGCCAGCCTCTCCTAAAGTACACGCACTGACTGATTCATCCCACAGAAAATGGTAATACGCAACAGAGAACGCCGCAACAACACATGATCGATGGCGTATGTGCACAAGTAGGCAGGGGCACGTCATGCGCGCATGACCTTGCTTACGCATGTTGTGCTTGCTGAGTATGCGTCATGTGGTTCTCCAGCCGCGATACCGAAAAGAACAGGGAAGGAGTAAGGCTCGCGATGGCTACATGGGACGAGAGGCAAGGAATTCAAGCTTACTGCTTCGCATCATGCTTTGGTGGCTCGTAGCGAACCAATTTGAAAAATCACTGTGGTAAAACACTTTTCATTGGGCACGCAGGAACTTCCAGTGTCTAACTACAACTTAATATGTCACCTAGAGAGGGACGCTTAAAGGGTAAATTACAAACACAACAAGAGTCGCATGCACATCACAGTTTTTACCCGAAGGCGCCACAGAAGATGGGTTACAATGGGTTACAATGTCGAAAAAAACACGTTTTCATTCACACAACACACTTTGTTCTCTTTATAAGCCATTTCATTCGGTCATGAAACCAACAAAAAATGAATTAATAAAAAAATTATGTCTGATGCGGCATTGTAAAATCTTAATTACCATTGCGCTAAAAAGACTGTTTAGGTACATTCATCATTTTCTAAAGCGAGTTTTACCATGAAATGCTTGACATAGGAGTTTTACCTGCAGTTTAATTCAACACGATGGTGGTAATTCCCACTCTAGTTTATTTTTCATATTGTTACACCTGTCATTTTGGAGTAATGGCTCAAAACAAACCTTGAAGCCTTGTTCTGTATTTTTTTCATGTTGGTCACTTAAAGACATATGCCAAGGAATCTCGTATGGCACAAGTGCATTCAGGTGTAGGGTGAATGTTTGCTAAATACACCGCTGACAGTAAACATGCCAGTGCCTGTCTCAGGCTTTGCTGTACAAAGTATAACAATTTGGCAACCTTCGCCACCACTGAATCAACAAGAGCACTCCATGAGTGGCCCTCCATGGTTTTTCATTCGTTCTCCAGCTACCTGCGGCTGCCATTGCCACTCTTTGAGGCAAGTATTCCCTAGGTTTTTATGAGTAGCTACATGTGGGCTTATCAGGGCTGCCTACTGCACAGGCATATCAGCATAATATCGTTGTCTGACCAAACACTGTCACATGCATTACAGCACAGACATCACTTTTGTTAAAATGAAGTTTAGGCAGCATATTGTGGCCGACTCGTGCAGAGACCAGCAATGTTTACTATAGTTTGTTGGGTAATAGGGGTATGTATGCAAACATTAGTCTACTACAATAAAATTAGGAACTGTAACAAATGGTATGTCCTCTGTTTAATCCATGCAGAGCCTTAACTTTTTGACTGTCTGTTATCACTGTCATGGGTCAATATCAAGTAATCCACGCTCTCGCTGAGGTATATGGGTAACCAAACCTTTGAGATACTGGATTTTTAAAAAGAGAGCGGTTTGGCCCAACTAGCCATGTAAAAGTGTTTAAGTCAGTGCATATTCAAGACTTCTACTTGGTGGCCCTCCTTTTTCTTAATCAAATTGGCTGAACCTGCCACCATATAATTTTCTCACTACGTATGGTGAATAGAAATATGAATTGATTAATGTCGATTTTCAACAATATTGTCATGCACAGTGTCTTGGTCTAAAGCAGCCTTCTGAATAGAATGCACAATCTTGGCTTTAGTACTTGCAACCATGTGAACACCACGGATTTCATGTAGATGTTTTTGTCACATTTATTGTAGAATAGGTAGAATACTACCAACCTCACAATTTTAATCTTTCTTTAGAATGAGTTTATTGTACACTGTAAACTTTTTTCCTTTATGAACTTGTCTAACTTTATCTTCTTTTAATTTAATGATATCTTCATAAAGTATGCAATATTCGCAGCAGTCACTGAATAGCATTAGTGTTCAAATATTGAGCTTGAGGCCATAAGTTTGTAAAAGGGCCACTCTGACTTGAAGCATTGAAGTATCCCTTGCCACGTGAAATTACAAATTTTGATTAAGATATCTGTGGAGTATTTTACCAAAGGAGCTTTTCCAATGGTTTCATAATTGGACCTGTCAGAAAAAGTTTAGCTGTCTGTTGTAACATCTCGTAACAAGAGCAACACTACCTTCTCTTGCATTAAAATTCACAAATGCCGTACTCCTGATTGCGGGGTGTTAGTGAGTACCTTTATGCTCTTTGCTCACGTCCATATTCATTGGCAGTACGTCGAACACGTAAACATAGATTTTAAACGCTTTATTCGTAAGTAGCAAACATTTATAAACCAGACTGCACGAATGCAGGTCACTGACTCGGCTTCTGAAGACATTGGCCAACATCGCATAGCCTTCAAAATACACGCGCAGTAATTCTGTTAACATTGAGTAAGTATAACTATAAATATTGGTTGTGAAGGTGCAAGCTAACAAACGGTGAAATGAAATTTATGATACACAAATGATAGGCACAGTGAAATGTGAAAACAATGGGCCGGTGCACACTGAAACACACACACGTAAAAAAAAATGAGATCAGTAAAGTGTGACAAAAAGTGAGCAGCGAGAGCTGTAATATTGACACGTCACAAGGAGATTGGGTCATAACAAGAACATGTATCACGTGTATTAGATTATGCTTGTGTGGTTTATGCAACGAGGAGAAAGTGAGTGTGTAGTCAATCGAGTCAAACCAAGAATGCAACATCGGTTTTCAATGCCCGGCCACTTTTCTTTGCGGTACAGGAGCAGGCTTAAAATTACATAAAATGACAGTACATGAAGAAACCACAGAATTTACATTGCGTTCATTTTGGCAAAAACAGCCACTGTCAATATAAAATGGCATCTTATTTGCTGTCTTAATAACAAAGTGGCATAAATCATAATGGCTTACAGCTTCCCCGTCTAAATATTAGTATCTATTAATTAGGAAGACTGTGGTATGTACACGTCAATGTCTCAACCTTAAACAAAAGAAATAAAGCAACCATTATGTTATACTAAAACACACAGCCCACTACACAACTGCATAGCTGCTTTCATACGTGCAGGCTTTGGACACCACCACATGTTGAAACAAGCATTCTGCAAGGTGCAAAAACAGACCTGTCTGCAATGAGGAATGAAGAACAAAATTTCAAGCACCACATGATCAAAAGCAGCCTGTTATGAGGTCGTGGGAAGTTTCACCAAGTACACATTCAGTGAGAATGCCTTGAATAAGTCGGAGAGAGACACTCTTCCGTTAATGTAATCTGAATAGCTAAACTGCGGGAGGTGTTCGCCGCTGAAGTGGATGGGAAAAGTGTAGAGTCTGAGCAGGTTGGGCTTCCACAATTTCATCTCAAAGTCTACAAATGAGGGTGGTGCGACGAGATAGTTCAGGTATGCCCGTTTTTTGAGAAAATGCCGCATCAGGTCGTCTCCATTGAAGTTGGTGCCCATCCAGTCAGAAACGTCCACTGCGGCTCCGTTCTCCTTCACTGCCAGCAGATGACGAGGTGGCATGTATGTGTGGGCAAATACCACAGTAGCAGTCATGTTGTCTGGTTTGTGCTGAGCGAGATGGTGATGGACCTGCGCCATGCATGGAAGCAGGCCACCCTGGTGGACGTAGCCAAAGAAAGCCAAGCACAGCGCATTCACCAAACTCCAGAAGACGATCAGCTTTCTTGAGGCATATCGTTGAGCCAGGAGAACCACTGGGACCAACAGTGGAACCAGAAATCGTGGCTCCTGGTGCTTGAATAGAGACAAGGCACATAACGGCATTAGTAGGGTGCAGGCAGCGACCACGTCGAACGTCTTGGAGATCGTAAGGATTTTAGGGCTTTCCAGTCTCGAACTGCACAACAATCTGTCGTAAAAAACTTTGCAGGAAGCCCAGAGGGCGAGGATTCCGAGGACGTTAAACAAAAGTGGGACATTGACAAGTACATGCAGAAAGTTGGGGTGCCTTCCGTGCGACTCCAAATTGGTCATGTTGAGATTGTAACGGATGAAGTTCACTGGTGTCACAACCACGTGCAGGGGATCGTCACTGGATAAAACGTCCGGGTAAAAGTAGAAAGTATCGACGATGATTGGGTACTGAGCCAACAGTAAGAAGCATCCGCCGAGCTTCAACCCACGTTTGGCCAGTCGCTTCACTATTTCGGCACGTGTGCAACACTTCTTGCTTTTGACATTGCGGTCGACTGCGCTGCACAGCCAAAAAACAACGGCTGGCAGCGCAAAACAAATGAAAGTGGGTCGGTTGAAAGTCCCGATGCAAAGCAACAATGCTATCAGGTAGTATCGCCGAGCCACCTTCACCCGGGCGTCCTTCAGTTTCAGTTCGTCGCTTTGCATGACGTCCCTAACGGTGAGAAGCAGCAGTGCTAGTAGCCAGGATTCAACGGAATTGCTGAATGTCCTTGTGTAGAACACTACTGCCACGTAGGAGCTGGCGAAGAGCTCGAGGGCCTTGATGCGTCTGCTCCGTTTTGCAGGCGGTGCCGACAGATGGTAAACGACGTAGTCGCAGGCGAACGATACAGCACAAGCAAAGATCCGTGGCACGGTCAGAAGCAGAAAAGGTGATGGCAGCGTTCCAGCCGGAGCTACGTATGACCACATCCACTTTAGCATCGACAGTGGGGCAAGTGTGGTCATCCATATGATGGCGATGCTGCGTATGGGATACGGACTGGTGAACTCCCAGGTCCGGAGTGCTTTGAGCCCGAACAGGTCACCTGCGAATTAAGCAAGTTCAATGAGATTATTATCAATAACATGAAATGCAAAACTTAAATGATTCACAGATTTTAAAAATCTGTGCTGCAACCTGCCTTGTAAACAGAAGCTCGTTGCTGTTTCAAAAAAAAAAAAAAGCTGGCCATACATTTTGACACTCCACTATAATCAATCCTTCTACAAAGCCCCTCTATTGTGCGCCGCCGAACAGCGCATGCGCATCACAGGCCATCCTGCCAAGTTGGTGAAGATGAGCATTGTGGTAATTAGTTGGCCGTGATTATGCGTGGTGTAGTTAATGACAAAAGGGGGCACGGAAAATATAAGGTGTTGATATTTTATTGAAAAATAACGAATAAGCTTTTTATTGTGACAGGGCTGTGATAGAGCGCGATTGCATTGTATTGGTAGGAGTTGCGTAGGCTATGCTAAAAGACGGGCATTATAACAGTGCAATGAGAAAAAACAAAAATTAGACCTTTTGGGTGTCGTGACTATTTGCTTGCCCCTTCCCCCCTTTTTTTCTGACGCGTTGTCGAGCATGTTCGTAACTTTATATAAATGTTTCATTACTCATGCCCCCCCCCCCCCCCCCAAATAATAGGCGCGAAGTTGCAACAAATTACAGACACCGTTTTGAAAAGTTTGGCACTTTCTTGAAAGGAAGGTACGCTGAGACATACAGGCACAGCCTTTGACAAATGGCTTCACACATACAGTTTCCCAAAATTTAGGAAACTCTACGGTTTCACACATGCTGTTACCACTCCTCGAGTGCGAGCACAGGCGTTGGTTTACCTGCAACGACTTCGGTGCTTTGGAAGAACTCGTCGGGGTGTATGTAACCTGTCTGCGCGTAGAAAACGAGCGATACTCGCAGGATGGCGAGCGCGATCCACACGGGTCCGACGCGCTCGTAAAAGCGAGTTAAAGTAGACATTCTCGTTTAGTTCACCGCAGACATACATTTACATTTATAGTGTGCCTGCACAGTGGTACCTGCGTTCGCGTATGGCGCTTTGCGGGTGACGCTAAGTTGCCAACCTTCTCTGCCTAAACTGGCTCTGAAGTCTCCAGTTTGTGCCGTTGCCAGATAGAAAGGAGACGCAGTGCCCGTAGGCACTTTGTCCTGTGCCGGAGAAGATTGCGAAACGTATGTAAACAAACAAAAAGCAGAAAAAACATGAACTACACAAAACAAAGCGCGTGGTAGTTGCGTATCTTGACGTCGGCACGCCACAGTTACGCGGGCTTTTCGAAAACACAAAGCGGAACATAATTCCGGAGTATTGCATGTGGCGGCCGAACTCAGTCAAAGCGATCGCACGAAGGCTCGCATCAATTTATTCGGCATACTAGACAGCTGAGCTCTAATACGGCGCAAGCTCGGTTGGAGCTGTTACTGTCATCTACCTGCGACTGACGTTAAAGTAAGGAACAATGTCGAATCGTGAGAAGAGGCGGGGAGCATTGTGTCGATGAAGCTGCAGTGAAATTTGGTCGCCGTATAGAATATAACTTATATTGCGTTTGGTATGCTTTGCTAACCCTAATGAAGAGTTCTCCGCACAAGGGGCGCATGCAGAAATTACGGGCGAAGCTCCTTAGGATGTCTCGCGGCGTCGTCCATCGTAGCCGCCCCTAGCACCACCTTGATCTGAAGTGGTCGAAAACGGAAGTGGTCAAAAAATTTCATGAGGGGGGGGGGGGGCAGGCCTGGTGTGCCGCTTCCTGACTACGCCACTACTCCATGAAAACTGCTGCTTGGGCGAGTTGCTTCATAATTAAGATAGATTTACCAGCGTGAAAAAACAAAAACAAACAAAAACGGAACATATAGAAAAGGATACACACACAGCGCTGAACTCACAACTGATTTACTATTTTGAACACGGCGCTTTTTTGTAGGCACGCGTCGAAACAACAGAAAGATGACATGAAGAAAAGAAGCGATGAAAACCACGTGACAACTGCTTGCCAAAAAGACAATAAACTGGAGGTAACCACGGAGTCTAAAATTCTTACGCCAAAAAGTACGCCGACAATATGAAAGGAGTGAAAAACTGTAATTCATCCTAAAACTAACCGGGGCAAACACGTTAAAGCCAGAGAATCCAAGGCCACACAGGAAGGATGAAAAAGATCCAAAACCTTAAAAACTAATAAGGAAATAAGCTGCCTGTGGCGCATCCATTTTCATTAGTTTTAATCCGTGCTTTTACTGTTCCTATATTTCATATTAGTTTTTCTTTGCGAGCTGCAAGCACTTTTGGTCTATCTATCTATCTATCTATCTATCTATCTATCTATCTATCTATCTATCTATCTATCTATCTATCTATCTATCTATCTATCTATCTATCTATCTATCTATCTATCTATCTATCTATCTATCTATCTATCTATCTATCTATCTATCTATCTATCTATCTATCTATCTATCTATCTATCTATCTATCTATCTATCTATCTATCTATCTATCTATCTATCTATCTATCTATCTATCTATCTATCTATCTATCTATCTATCTATCTATCTATCTATCTATCTATCTATCTATCTATCTATCTATCTATCTATCTATCTATCTATCTATCTATCTATCTATCTATCTATCTATCTATCTATCTATCTATCTATCTATCTATCTATCTATCTATCTATCTATCTATCTATCTATCTATCTATCTATCCGCTTAAGTCTGGGCAAGCTGGCTCGACAAATATCACGCGCTGGTTAACGCATGAATTATGTCAGAATCCCGTCGAGCACATTGTCATACACTTCCCGCCAAACAGTGGCACGTACCAACAGGTGTGATTGTGCCACTAGTATGCGGGTATGTGCCACAGGTGATTGACTCTTAGTATCTACCCTGAACGACGAGAACACACATGGGCGATTTTACGTTTAAGCGTTAAGAAAAACCTGACAACGGCTGCGTTAACTCGAAGAATGCAAAGAATAAATGTCGGGGTCCCAGTAGGAATTGAACCCAAGCATTCTGCGTGACAATCAAGCATTCTATCACCGAGCCCCACCAAGTCTCGGAACTACTTTTCCAATATACCCAAATTCTCGTGAAACGTCGATTGAGGTTGCAGTCCTGGCTATCCAATTTTATAAACATTAGATATGCACTCCTATGATACCGCCGTCACGTCAGGCTAACGTAAATTGTAGTTTGGCGCCGTGCTCTGAAAGTTAATTTATCTATTGTGCTCTGATTTGGGTGCACGTTAAAGAACCCCAGGTGGTCGAAATTTCCGGAGCCCTCCACTACGGCGTCTCTCATAATCATATGGTGGACTTAAGACGTGAAACCCCACATACCAACCAACCTTAATTTATCTATAGTGGACAGCGCACAAAAAGAAAACACACAAAAGGGGGAAACAGGACACCCCGCCTTTCGGTTTTACTGCAGTTAATTTATGATTGATTGATAATGGGGTTTAATGTCCCCAAACCACCAAATGATTATGAGAGACGCCGCAGTGGAGGGCTCCGGAAACTTCGACTACCTGAGGTTCTTCAACGTGCGCCCATATCTCAGCACACGGGCGTACAACACTTCCGCCTCCATCGGAAATGTAGCCGCCGCAGCCGGGATTCGATCCCGTGACCAGCGGGTCAGCAGCCGAGTACCTTAGCCACTAGACCACCGCGACGGGGCGCAGTTAATTTATGTAGCAGTGTCAAGGGCTACCACCCTCGCGAGCACCAGCACTTCTTTTCAGCTTATCACTTCTGGTGTTGCTCATTCTCATGTTTTTGTGGACATCGTTGCGCAAGTGCAAACAACATTTATAAATATATTTGGCGTCATTTGATGACATTTGCTCAATAAAAAAAATACAACATGATCAGTTGATCACCTTCCTCCCGTGTGTTTCGAATAACGCCGATTCCAAAAGTACGCGGGATCTGCCGAGTTTTTTATTATTTATTTTAGTTTCACTCTTCTCGATTTTTCAGTCGTGGGCAAGATGATGATTCTTTGCTCACAGCCAATGACGCCGACGCCAGAATATAAGGTGCTCGACTGCTGGTCATGGGACCGAATCTCTTCCGCGGCACCCGCATTTTCGGTAGAGGCGGAAGTGCCCTAGGTCCGTGTGCTTAGATTTAGGTGTATGTTATAAAGAATGGCAGCAGCATAAATTTCCGGTATTCGATCCATTACGGCGTCTGTCATAGTAATATCGCGGTTTTGGGACGTTTGGCCAGTTACGACATATTCAGACACTTACCCAACGTCACGCGTCCCATGTAAAGAAAGCGGCGCTAAAATCGAAAATGCGCTCGCGGGATGTGAGGCGAGGGCCACGAGCAATGACTTCGATGATGTCTCGAACAAATGGGTGGCTGCAATGCGCAGTCTCCACCGGGTCGACCAACTCCCGGTCAGCAAACCCAGAACGCGACCGCCATATTTTTTTTCTTACTTTTCGTATTAAATCTTATTCCATCGGACATGACACAGTTGTTGATCGAGCCGTACATCTATAGCATCCACTCGTACTGTAAGTAAGACCCCCAGAAGTCCTTTGTCCCTACCTTGAACCATATGATCTAAAGCATTGCCTCCGAGATGCGGCGCGCAGCAATTCATCTGTACGACGGACGACAACTTGCCCTAAAGCGTGTTTCAGTCTAATGCGGCAGTCTTCGTGCCCCAAATGATAAAAAGTTGTTATGAATCGTTTATGAACTCATTCAACATTCAATTCTCTTACCCAACGTGTTGCAAACACATGGTCGTCACAGCAGCTCCATCTGTGCGTCAGTAATGAAGAGGCACCGCATATTAGAAGTCTCAGTGCTCTACGTATTAGAGTGAATTCAAATACTGTAGAATATCGTGTTCAAAATAGTTACTCCTATCTGCTAAAACAGCCTTTCTTCACCAAATGCGGTCACGTTTACTCGCGTTTGAATCTTATTGCCGCTTTTCCGTTCCGATTTCTACATTTCTCAACTTATCAGCGCATTCTCGAAAAGCTCTGATTAGTACCACGAATATTGTCGCTAAAAACAAAATAATGCAGCATGTGTTTCTACATTACAGTATGATGGCCTTCGGTTGTCTATTTGCGAGATTTTAAGAAAAATCGAAGATGAGGTTTTTTATTTTTCAAATTTCAGTGGAGTACACTTTTGCCAATATGAGAACTTTGAGGCAATATATAAACAATTACATTTGCCCTACGGCAGCAATAGTTTATGTACCTAATGAACACACTATATCCTTAAAACGTGTCAAGTTTGAAAACGCTGCTTGCTTTACTTTCGAAGAAAAAAGAAAAGGGGAATACGTAACTTACTTTAAACTGTCGCAAAATTAGACATTTTTAAAAGCTGTTTTCTTAAAGTCGGCAAACTTGAAACCGTATGAATTCATTCTTCATTAGACATGAATTTCAGTTAAAAAAATATCTTCCTTGAAACAAAAATATTTGTCTTTTTATAGCATCTGCAATTTTCGAAAATGACAGGTGACGAAATTGGTGCCTCCATGTTGGAGAAGTTTGATATTTTTTTCTCGTAAGTTATGCCGTTAATCATAAAACGAAGTTGACTTTCGGGCTACCTGGTGAGAGGTGCACGAAATGTAAAATACTCAATGAAATCTAAAATATCAACTTTTGGACCCGTGTCGATCTCTCGTGGAATCGCCCCTTATAATTATGGGACAGCTTTTTATCGAGGCCCCACGAAGTTAGACCAAGTGCACTGGCATCGCACGGGCAACGGGACTCCAGCATTTCGCCTCCATAAACGCGACAGTCAATGCCGGGATCAAATGCGCGACTTGCGGCCCATCAACGGAGCATGCTTTCTTATTGCAATGGATTATAGAAAAAAGTGGCGTGACAAAAGTTAAAGCAATCACTGCAAATGTAACTAGTTTGATTGTTTGCTCATGTTCGTCACATAATTGCAACGGTCATGCCGGTTATAGGGTTGCAATTCAAGATCGCAAGATATACGCGAAAATGCGTTCCGGACTGGTTCAGCTCAGCAGACTAGGTACTTCTAGAGCATTCGGAGTCTGACTATCCCGCGCCATCCTTCTGTTTTGTTTGTGTACATCTTTTTCTTCGAATTCGTTCCTCCG